TCTTTCTCATATTGTGTAGGCTGAATAATAGACAATCGTATAAATAAATTAATTAGAAAGCTCAATACGTGAATATTTAATCTCACACTCCTCCTCACGTGTGGGCTGGACAATGAGTAATCGTGTGGATAAATTAATTAGAAAACACAACACGTGAATATTTAAGCCCGAGATATATTAAAGACCCAATATATGATGATAATTTTAAATGGAGATAAAGAATGTAATTACGAATGTTTGAACTTAGGACCTCCCTCTCTGATACCATGTTAGTTTACCAATTCATCCCAATCTGCTCATTGTTATGTGCAAACAAAACCAAGCCATCAAACTCACATGAGGGACACAAGCATTTTCCGTAGTATTTTAATGGAGCTAATAAAATATGCTGAATTTTAGCAAGTTGAGGAGTAAATTGTCAAAATTAAAAGATTAGGGGCAATCTGCTGAAGCAGATAAAATTCGGAAACAGTTGTGCTAATAGGGGATCAAAAAGCAACTTCAGGTCAATGGGTAAATTTGCCTATATAATTAGGGGAGAATGTTTCAATAAAAAATGAATTTTTTCTCTGTAAATTTCTTTTTTATGACTGTTATAAGATTTTTTTTCACTTTAATAAAGATTTTTTATCACGTAAAATTTTTTTACTAGTTATAAATAAAATATTTACTCTTACTTAATCTAGTTTTGAAAATCTACTATTTACTGGTATTTATGTTTAATTTGATTACTTGAGGCCTACCAGACGTCCAAACCACATCTCTTACAGATGTATTTCAAATGTGACTTGAGTTCACAAATGAAACTCATTCCCGTCACAACATGAGATTATTTAGAATGTATACTCAAATTATGATTTTTAATTTTAAAATATGAAATTTAAATTTTTTATGAGAGAAAAATATTATAAAACCTCAAAAAAATTTAAATTTTTTGAGTTTAAGTACACGAAAGAAACGATTCTGAAGTGTTGGTATAGAGCCTCAAAAAAAGCCTTGCCACCTAAAGGGGCACGCCATCTATTTTCTGTTACATAGATTTACTCAATACATAATAACGTGTAATTGTTATATGAAATATTAATGTACAGTAAATCAGTACTACACTTGTTTCATTAGAAATAATGTATATACTTATAGCCAAATATATTTGCACTGGTCGTTTAGATAGTTTTCTAATACATTATCCATTTCAAGTACTTTATACAGGATAACACAAATTTTTCGGAAACAAAACTTACAGAAGATATGCCACTATGACAATCTTAACCAAGACACTAAGCTTGTAACGTAGATAAATACAACATTATTTCAAGCACAAGACACAAAGCTCGAAACAAACACACTATTTCAAGCATAAGACACAAAAACTTGAAACCAAATACATACATTACAGGAGAAGAAATACTAATTAATTTGCAGCTTCAACTCCAAATAGACCTCTTTTACCTTCAACTCCCAACAGACCCTTTGAAGCTTCAACATCTAATGAACCATTTTTAGCTTCATCTCCTATTAAGCCTTTACAACCTGGAAAATTGATCCACTCGATTTGAACGACGATTTTGCCGCACTCGACGTTTCGCAACCTGAGACACATGTCCTGAACAATTTTTCCATTGGTCCAAACACAACTGCTCTCATCGGAGAGGCAATTCTCGTGGCTCGGCTGAATCCGCTTGACCACACTGCCATCTGGGCGGTTTTCCAGCCCCATTTTAAGGCATTCTATATAGGGCTTGATGTCAATCTCTGCATCACCCATTTTGTCATCTGAAGTTAGTGTGTCTCTGTCAAACACCGTCTGCATTAAAACAAGAAAATTAATCAGTGGCCCTTATAAATAAAATTAGTGCAAATATGTCAACTCTTCTGATCACAATGTAAAAATCAGGAATGAAGTGTAGATTTTGCTTGATTGTTTGAGGAGTAATAAGTTGAGTTTCTCATATGACTAAAAAACTATATTAGAAATAGAAGATTGCTTAATTACAAGAGTGATTGGGGTCTCAAGATCCGTGATGGAGAGTGTCAATTCATCATTCCACTCTGGATTGCAGTTGTTTTTCACCACGCGAGTCTTCAGTTTCTGCATGATATTTGTAAGAATATCAGAGGAGAGAAGGCAAACCAAGAACTAGGAGTTTTTAATTGTCCATAGGACCATAACCCAAAAAACAAAACAAAACAAATAAAAAGAAAAAAAAAAA